GCTACACCATCTTTAGGAAACAAGAAATATTTCATCACGTTCATTGATGATTATTCTAGGTTTTGTTATGTGTATTTATTGCATGCTAAAGATGAGGCCTTAGAAAAATTCAAGGTTTATAAAACCGAGGTTGAATTACAACATAGTGACTTGGTTAAGAAGTTGCGCACCGATAGAGGTGGAGAATATTATGATCCTATGTATTTTAAATCCATGGGCATAATACATGAGACTACGGCTCCGTATACGCCACAACAAAATGGTGTATCCGAGAGGAAAAATAGAGTTCTGAAAGAAATGGTTAATTCCATGTTATCTTACTCGGGATTAAGTGACGGATTTTGGGGTCAAGCCATGGTAACGGCTTGTTATTTATTAAATAGAGTTCCCAACAAAAGGAACAAGGTTACCCCATATGAACTTTGGTACAAAAAGAAACCAAACTTGAACTATCTTCGAGTTTGGGGCTGTAGGGCGATCGTTAGATTACCCCAACCAAAGATTAAGACTTTGGGAGAAAGAGGTATTGATTGCATCTTTATAGGTTATGCCTTGCATTCCAAGGCATATAGGTTTTATGTCATAGAACCTAATGATTCTATAGCGGTTCACACCGTAATTGAGTCAAGAGATGCAATATTTGATGAGAATCGTTTCTCGTCAATACCTAGACCAAAGGATTTAGTTCCTAGTTCAAGTGGAACAAAGGAAGGAGACGAAACATTCGTTCCTCCTAACAAGTCACCTACGCTTCGTAAAAGTAAACGAGGGAGAATCAAAAAATCTTTCGGTCTCGATTTTCAACTTTACTTAGTTGAAGGGTCAAGAGATGAGATTGGTTTCCAATACTCATATTGTCATCATATTGATGATGAACCTAGAACTTTTAGTGAGGCTATGAAGTCTAATGACGTTATTTTTTGGAAAGAAGCCGTAAATGATGAAATGGATTCCATCATGGGAAGTAATACGTGGTTCTTAACGGATCTTCCACCCGATTGCAAGCCTTTAGGATGCAAATGGATCTTCAAGAAGAAGATGAAAGTCGATGGAACGATAGATAAATTTAAGGCTTGGTTGGTTGTTCAAGGTTTTAGACAAAAGGAAGGCATTGATTATTTTGATACATATGCTCCGGTTGTTAGGATCTCCTCTATAAGGTTATTAATTGGTTTGGCATCCATTCATAACCTTGTGATCCACCAAATGGATGTCAAGACGGCATTCTTAAATGGCGTCTTGGAAGAAGAGGTGTATATGAAACAACCCGAAGGGTTTGTTATGCCTGGTAATGAACATAAGGTGTGTAAGTTGGTAAAGTCATTATATGGTCTAAAGCAAGCATCTAAACAGTGGCATCAAAGGTTTGACGAGGCTGTCTTGTCAAATGGGTTTAAATTAAATTAGTCGGACAAGTGTTTGTATAGCAAATTTGATGATTCCAGTAATGGAGTAATCATTTGTTTATATGTTGATGACATGTTGATCTTTGGTACCAACCTTAGACAAGTAGAACGTACAAAGGAGTTCTTATCATCAAATTTTGCCATGAAAGACATGGGGGAGGCGGAGGTGATTCTTGGAATTCGAATCAAGCGTGAGAACAAAGGAATATCTTTAACTCAATCACATTACATTGAGAAGGTGCTTAAAAAGTTCAATTATGAAAATTGTTCTCCCGTGAGCACTCCCATGGATGCGAGTGTGAAGCTTATGCCTAATACGGGACAAGCGGTATCACAACTCGAGTACTCACGAGTAATTGGTTGCTTAATGTATGCCATGACTTGCACTAGACCGGATATAGCTTATGCGGTAGGAAAGTTGAGTAGATACACTAGTAATCCTAGTACTCATCATTGGCAAGCTGTAAGGCGGGTGCTCAAGTACTTGAAAGGAACCATAAATTATGGTTTGTCATATTTTGGATTTCCTTCGGTCTTAGAAGGATATTCGGATGCAAGTTGGAACACCAACGAGGAAAATCATTCTTCTACAAGTGGTTGGGTGTTTCTACTTGGGGGAGGTGCCATTTCATGGGCATCAAAGAAACAAACTTGTATTACAAATTCTACTATGGAATCGGAATTTGTAGCGTTAGCAGCTGCAGGGAGAGAGGCGGAATGGTTAAGACATCTAGTCTCCGAGATTCCATTGTGGCCGAAACCGGTGTCACCCATTTCTATCTATTACGATAGTAAAGCTACTTTGGCTAAAGCTTATAGCCAAGTGTATAACAGTAAGTCGCGACACCTAGGCTTGAGACATAGCGGGATACGTGAGCAGATCACTCATGGGGTGATTACTATAGGATTTATTCGGTCAGAGCAAAATCTAGCGGATCACTTGACAAAAGGACTAGCTAGAGACTTGGTGATCAAGTCGGCTAAAGGGATGGGATTAAAGTCCATTTGAAATCTCTAATGGTGGGATACCCAATTCCCCTCTAATACAACGTTAGAAGCTGAATTCAATGCGGAAAGCCCACACTTAGAGATTGAAGCACTAGTTTATATCATCCCAAAGTAAGTGCTTAGATCTGCAAGAAAAGGTTAGGTTGAAGTTTTCTTCTTAATAGATCTTTTGAAAAATTGCATTTTGCAGGTGCAAGATTAAAAGATCTACCTATATGGGTGTGAAGTGTAGCCGCTTCAAGAAGCTCGGACTTGGCTTTGTATACGCTCATGAATGGATAAGGACACATGGCTTATAATAGTGTCAAGGATAAACACTTAGAGTAGTGAGTTAATTCGTGTGTGTATTATCTTCATGTGCTCAAAATGAGTTGAACGATTCAATCCGTAGGACATCCTGATTCTCGAGCATTTGGAATGTGTAATATCACTAAGATGTAAATTCAATCGTTACGATATTTACATTTATGCATGAGTTTGGTTTACGTGTTGTTAATTTTGTGAATCAAAGATTACACTTAAATGGGGGAGGAATGTTGGATATTTAAGTGTACGTGATATTTAAGTGTACGTACATCGTCGGTTATTCACGAATGTTGGATATTTAAGTGTACGTACATCGACAGTTAGTGTACGTACATCGACGGTTATTCACCAACCATCGCACCTTTTTGTACAAACGGTTATTATATTAAACGTACGGTTGCAAACGTATGTGAACACCGTTGATCACTATAAAACTCTGTTTCTCTTGTGTCAATAGAGACATAGAAGGACAGAGCACAAGAGTTTCACAAGATCAAAGATTAAAAGAATCTTTGGTGATAAACACATAAACAAAACACAAATCTCTATTTGTTTCTCTTGTATCTCAGCCTAGAACAAGAGAGAACTTTGATTGTCTTATCCTACAAGGGATTTCGTGTAACCCAAGGCTTGAGAAGGGTCGAAATACTCTTTAAGGAAAGTGCTCACGTGCGCGATTCAATCATTTTCCAAATTCACACTCGTTACATCCCGGAGTTACAACTAACCTTTTACAACACTTTGGGTCCCGTCTCAATCTGTAGGAGAACCTTCAGCAAAACCTAAAAAATATGAAAGTCTTTTAATAAAGAAAAAAATTCTAAAGATTGGGCCTTTTTACTTTAGAAAATTTTTTGAAATTGATTTTGGACCCATAACAATTGCCTATGTTGCCTTCCCCTAGAGATGGGCCGCCCTTTCATAGGGTTGTTTTTGGGAATATTTATTTTCTCTTGGGCTTTTGACTCCAGGAACTTCCTTTCGATCTCCGGGTTTGTATGTCTCCGATGAACGACAAAATAAAATAAAAAATAGAAAAGAATCTTTTTACTGTTTAGAAGAAGTAATAAATCTTCCTTTATATGAAAATGGTCCACACTTCTCACACAGGAATTCATTTTCCTTTTACCTTTTTTTTTTACTACAATCAATTAATGTGGAAATAATTTGAATGAGCAATGAAAACTTTGACTGAATACATTTTTAAATTCAGGTTACATAATTGGCAATATAATTCATAATAAGTGTTCATCCTTTCCCTATGTTCATCATTCTATGGTTTTGACTTTGATGTTTTAAAATTTGATCTCTTGAGATTTTTTACTTTCACGTTGAATTCGAAAAGAACTAATCTGACGAAAAAGAATCTGAAGTTGTCCATCCTGATTCTCAATCCAGAGGTATGATGATCTTCATGAGTCCTTGCGTTACAAAAGCTGAAGTTAAGGTTGAACCAGAAGCTGAAGTTAAGGTTGAACAACCTCCATTGAGAGTTTCTGGTCCTGTAAACCAAGAAGAACTAGTGGAGGAGAAAGCAAAAGAAAGGGACCTCCATCAACAAACCTGCTTCATGTTCCTCAGTTAAGAAGAATCAGCGAAGACGCAGGGATCAGACGTGACAGCATGGAGCTTACTCCAAGTATGATTCGAAGTACTATGATGAAAACGGGTCAGTGTATCATCGAACTGTTTCTTGAAAGGTTAGACTCTGCATCTCCGCAAAATAACGTTGGTTCTGCAACAAAAGTCCCTCAAGACTCGAAGAAAAGCAATGCAGCCAAAAGAGTAAAGTGCGAAAGCAAGAACACTAACGATGTGATTATGGAGGAGGAATATGATGTAATGGCTATGAGTGTTCCAGATGCTGATTTCTACAACTTCGAAAAGGATCGGGTCGAAGCTTCTTTCGGAGAAAACCAAGTATGGGCTGCTTATGATGATTACGGAATGCCTCGGTGGTATGCATTGGTCCATAAGGTTGTTTCTCAAGAACCGTTCAAGACGTGTATTTCTTGGCTTGATGGAAAGAAAAATGGATATGTGGGTTCAATGAAGAAGTGGATTGATTCAGGGTATTACAAGACGAGTGGATGCTTCTCAATCTAGAAACGTAGCAGCAACGACTCTCTCAACTCATTCTCACATAGAGTACATTGGACGATATGTGAGAAAGGATTGGTGCACATATATCCGAGAAAAGGCAATGTTTGGGCTCTTTATGAAAATTGGTCACCATCTTGGGATATTTCAACTTCAGTAGAAGAAAAGAACAAGTATGAAATGGTAGAAGTTCTTCAAGATTTCAGTGAAGAGGGAGGTGTGACCGTTGTGCCATTAGTTCAAGTCCCAGGATTCATAACTGTCTTTCGACGCCTTCCAAAACAGAGGACATTCCCAAGGAACGAACTGTTCAGGTTCTCGCATCAGGTACCTTCTCATTTTCTTACAAGTCAAGATGGTGAGAATGCTCCTGAAGGTTGCTTGGAGCTTGATCCAGCAGCTTTGCCACAAGAGCTGCTCAAGATTGTCACTAAGGAGGAGATGAAAGAATCGGAGAATGTGGTCATCAAGAAACCAGAGGAAGAGGCTAATGAGGTAGTGCAAGCTATGAACAATGTTGGAATTGATGATGAAGCAAAGAAGAAGCTTGAAACTGTGGTCAAGAAACCAGAGGAGGAAATGGAAAGTGACAAAGTGAAATGGTAGAGATCAATTTTCTTAAGAAACCCTGTTTTGTTTTTCCTTTTTTTCTTTCTAGATGTTTATTCAAGAAACTACAATAAATCTGAATTAGTATCAGTATGATGCTGATCCAGTGAGTTTTTTTAATCTTTACTTTTTTGTTTTTATATTTGAAAGTTATAGGATGCTTTGAAAGTTATAGGATGCTCCTATAACATAATTGTTGTTGTATCTTGAAACAGGGTTATCTTATTTGAATGAGACTTTGATCTTGCATTATATCATTTTCAGATTTGTATCTCCACAGATGTCATAGTTTTAATGTGATTTGCAATGAGTCTTTGTACTGTTAGAGATTCCTTCTTAATTTGTTCTATCTCCCATTATTGAACTGGGAACGGTGTAAGGACAAAGAACAGAGAACGTGTACTTGTTCGAGGAATCATGGATGGTTTGAGATACGCACATGACCATATGTAATGTTGATCCTGCAATGATAATAAGGTTTATTGCACAACCAAAAAAACTTCCATTCTGTTCTATAAATGATAACTTAAAAGGTTTCATTCGAAAGTTGATAAAAGAGGAACTGAAAACAAAATAGAAACAACAACAAATCAGCAGTCATCTGGGAGAAGAAGAACCTCAGGAACATGCCCAAAATCGCATTAACTGCTTCACAATTCCGTAAAGTGTTAATGGAAACTCTTTTGCAGGTTTTTCTTTCAGTTCAATGTCATTTCCCTGAATTGTTGGAAGTAACAGATCTTTCAATTTTCAGTTGGAGAACCATGGTAATCCAGACTGAAGGCAGTTTTGTCCCTCCGGTAAGGGAACTATAGGTCCCAAGAAGAGACGCCATAGATCAAGAATTATTGTTACCAACATAGCAGCACCCAAAGCATCAACAGCCACTCGAGATAAATCCCATCCATCACTTGATTTCTCATCCATCCTTCAAACCCCCACCGATGAATAAAAAAAACATATAAAAAAGAAATGAAAACAGAAACATATGTATGAAAGAAATGTTGAAAACATTAAGAAGAAAACAGTAAAGATAAACAAATGCCAATAAGAAGTCGAGAGATGAAAACATTTCACAGAGATGGCGCAATGGTACCAAGAACTCTTCAAGGCACTTGAGAAAAACATGGGATCATGGTTCTTTATATAAGCCTAGCCTCTAATTCCTATTTTTAAGAATCTCAGTTTTGATATGCAATAGTTATGATGCTGGAAAGATTAACCGCTATTATGAGATGAGGTCAGGAAACTCGTAATATAGAAAACGTTGAGGTTCTTTACCTGAAGAACATTGGAAAGCTCACTATGAAGTAAATGGCATAGAACAAACACCCAACTCTGTACATGGCACTTCGGTCTACAAACTCGTAGTAAGGAAACTGCACGTGTTGAAAACAAGACAGAACATATGTAGTGATTAGTTTCCAAACAAGATTCTGAATGATTAAGTAGCTAACCATAGCCTATAAGCAGACTACAAGAGGAACTATCAAAGAAATGAAGACATGACAGCATACATTTGCAATAGCAATAGTCTCCAAGTATGCAATGAAATAAGAAAGCGCCAGTATCCATGCAGCCTCAAAACACCATTTCAGAGAATCTGGTAAATCAGCAGTGGAATGTCGCAGCCTTCGAAGTGTAATGTTCGATGCAACGTGGTAAAAGAGGAAGCAAACATGTGTTAGGAAGAATGTTGTGTGAGGCACCTGTTCAACACAAAAAAAAAACTGCCATAAGCTCATAGAAACAAGCAAAATACTCAACAGAACACGGATAGCAAGGTTACCACTGAATTTGTTGTGCTTACATTATTCATTTTCCACGATGGAAAAGTATAGGATGCTCCAAGAACTTTAAAGAAATAGTGAGTCCAAAAATAGTTTCCCACATAGCTGAACATAATTATCCAGAGATTTGCCTGTGGTAAAAACATGTTCAAAGATTTTGAGAATTCTCACACTACCCTTAAGAAAGTTAAAACAAGTAAAGCAAGTTCTAGAAATAGTTTGAAGCTAGAACTGAGAAGCCAAAATATCATGCACAGAAGAAAAAAGCTTGCCTTAACCCAATAGCGGTCCTTCCAACATAAACTTGTGTCAGCCTGAAATAAAAATGCATATATTTTGAGTCCATAATATGTTAAGGAAGACAATAGAGGTTTGCTTTCAATTGGAAGCAAGTTGATAATTATGGCCATATGTTAGTTCACAGTGAAAGCAAAAAGTTGTCAACAAGTAACAGAGTCAAAACAGCTTCTATACTAGCAAATAACACACTAAGATCTCCTTGAAAGAGGTATAGAGGTAAGTCGAATACACTGTTTCGATATCTTCAATCTTCACTGTCCCAAGGTAAAAGGGACAATAAAGATGAAGAGAACACTAAAATGTTGTATAATAGCGATAACGAGAAAAGATCAACAAAGAACCAATGAATAAAAGGTGTTAAGTAGATAACCTTTCCAACGAGTAACATTGGTATAACGAAAGCAGGAACAGCTGAAACCAAAGCTAGAAGCAGATACTCCAACTCCGTGAATGTCTACAAGTTGTTCAAAGTAATTAGTACTCCATGAATACCACTAAAAGACAACATTAAAATCTTCAGATCTCTAAAAAACACACTGACATAGTCAACAATGAGACATCATTTCATAAAAACTTTATTGATCTAATTTAGCAGATAAAGTGAATAGCTACTTCAAGAACAACTCTGTCTCACCTCGTAGAGCTTGTAAGGAACAACGATACCCAAACAGAGAGTGAGCCAAAAAGGAGTGTAGAAGAGGAAGAAGAGCTCTCCCCATCTTTTGCTCGGATTCGGTGCCAGCCACAAGCTCGGAGAAGATCCTATCAAATGTAACAATCAGGGAAAGGTGACCGGAGATGTTGAATCAGGCGAAGAAGAAGAGATCGGCGATCGGCGTTAGCTTTACCTGACATAATCGCTCCGCCGAGGTTGACTTGAGTACGGGCGACCAAATAGTATCCCAATCAAGCTGACGTGGCAGATGTACTCTCTGATGATTTTGACGATAACTAGATCCGCTCGCTCATTGTGACATCACCTCTTTATTCTCGTATTGAATCCATCCATTTTTCTATTCACTTTTTAAATTATCTATTTATAGAAGAAGAGGGCCTATTTTTAATTTATAGAATTTTTCCTCCTTCTACATTTCATTTTTTTTTCTTTGGTATATAAACAATTTGAATATTTTAAATGCAAGAGACTTAATTGCAACAGATTATTTGTTTTAAAATGGATGGATTACATACGAGAATAAAGAGATTATTTGTTTCAAAATCTAGTTTAACCGACATGGTGGTATCACTTAAAATAGCGTGTTATCGGCTATATAACAGATTCTTTGTTTAAAATGCATATGAATTTTATAGGGACTACTTATTAATGTTTTGAAAACTTGATTTTGTTTTTTTTACCATTCAAAATATCGATTCCGCTATATACTAGTAGTGTTAAAAAATATAACTGGAAAAAAAAAACAAAACGTGATTAATCTACTAAAACTAGTTTTCGGCGTTTTATAATTTGTCTACAAAAATGTTATCCAGTTCAGTTCATTCTACTAACAATTATTGAGGTATTTTTATATTCCACTATATTTCCGATATACCTATTTATTAAAAATATACGTGAAAAATAATCCAACAATAATATAATCTTATCAATTTTGTGATTAACCAAATATAGTCACAATATATATATTCATAAAAAGTTCAACGTTGGAATGAATGATGTAATTTTGAGAAAAAAATTCGGTCAGTAAAATTTAATAGTTAACAATCTTTATTAGATATAAAACTTGAAAATAATATCCTCAAATTTTGAAATATACAATGTTTGCACAAAAACACTAGTGACAAAAAGTCCACATCTCCCCGAACCAAAACCTACTAAGCCATTCTCTAACATCATTTTGCACTTAGAAAAGATACAGACAAATTTTATGGCTTAAATCACTGCGACTACTTCCTTCTCTGTTCTCGCGTTTCGTATTCCCCACAATGGTTTCTCTCTTTCTCTCCATTTTCTCTGCTCCTAATCATTTATGCTTGATTTAGTCATGAAAAGAGCAACTTTTCAGTATGAAAAAGGTCCAATGTTTTGCTAATCTCTATATCATCCTAGGATCACTAATGAATTTCGTTCCTTTGAGTATTTTATAGTCTAATTTAAACAAATCAGTATTGATCAAAACTTGATTGTGCATCGTAGGTACATTTAGATGCCACAATGTAGCTTTATGCGGGAAGATGGTTTGATCAATTGAGAGAGTTAATGGACGCTTTCATGGAGACAAGTATAGAGAAAACAACAATACACCCATCAAAGTGTGCATCAAGCATCTAGATAGATATCAATTCATGCAACTCACAGAGCTCACCACTGGTTTCCAAAGTTGGACAAAGATCCAACATATTTTTTCCATATCCCTTGATAGCATTAAGAATCTTCCTAGCTAATCTAATACGCTTATGAAAGAATGCTTCATACCCAATACGCCCATTACGCCACGTATATATTCGTGACTCATAAAGCTTGGGCACTGGATATATCCATGGGAAAGAGATGGAGAACAAAATCATCAACCGTCTTGCCAACAGCATTGCCAACCGCCTCGGAAGCATCCCCGGGAACTACATCGTCAACCTCGTCGTCAACCGCCTCAATGAGTGAATGTATCCAATGACACATACCAGAGATGATTGTATCCATAATTAGTAGCACAGTGCGGTATGGTTCCAATAATAACATTTTGTCAGTCTGTTTTTTTTTGTTGACTTGACCTAAAACAAAATGGTTTGTTGGAATTAATTATATAATATTGATTTTATGTAATTATGAAAATGTGCGATATCTATACTAGTATTTTTGAAGTATATTTTTAGCGGGTGGATTAAATTATTTTCGGACACAAATGGTATCCGACCCGATAAAATATTTCTTTCATAAAAATTTGGTTGGATCGGGTTATATTTAACTCAACTCTTGCACTGGTATTTGCCTAAAAGTCGGATACAAATATTACCAAAATTAGATCACATTCACTAATTACGTTTTTATATTTAATAATAAAGACATTTAGAAGATTTGGTTATGATTTAAATCTATGATTCTCTTTTCATTTTTGTTTGATTATTTTTTTAACTATTTTGAATGATCATATAATACATAAAGTTTAAAAAAATCTCACCTTTTTTTCTGCATATATTGTGATTCGAAATTTTAAAAAGAGACATATATTACCCAATTAATGAAAAAGTGCGTGTTCAATGTCCCATATCGGCTAAAATGTTTAGACAATGATTCATAGTCATATTATAAATAAGATCAAAATAAATCCAAATTCAAATGAGCACGATTCTTAACTTAACAAGCATCCAAATTTAAAAGTTTGTATACGGATTAATTCGGTTTTTAGTTAAAATGTTTCATTTTGCCAGAAATATTATAATTGATATATTTGAAAGCAATAGAAAGTTTATAATATTATGAAAATTTGAACATATAAAAATAAAAAGTAACATGGGACGAATTATATTACAGAACAGGATTTTATGGTGGCCTGGCGGAACGAGTTTTGAATCAACATTAATAAAAATTTAAAATATCATTAATCCGCCGCTTCAATACGGAACGGATTAAAATCAATAAAAATTTATAATATTATAAAAATTTGAACATATTAAAAAAATAACACGGGACGGATTATATTGCGGGATGGGTTATTGCGGGACAGATTTGAATTAACATTAATAAAAAATTTAAAATATCATTAACTCGCCGCTTCAAATAGAATCAGTCTGATTTAAATAAAATTGTATAAAACAGAAATTATCTCGTGGTATACCGTTACTTAATAGTAATTGTAAACTATAAAAATATATATGTCTCTTTATAAAATGATATTATTTGCAAATTTTTATATTTAATATATAAATATTAAATTTTAAAAATTATTATTTTTAGTAAATAAATTGTCTTGTCGTCGTGTATGGCAGATTAAAATCTAGTAGATTGATGTGTAAGAAGAAAGACTCGTTTTCAAAGTTGGGTGTGTCACCACCAACCCAAGAAGGTTTGTTCAAGGGGCAGGCCTGTGTAGTTGTTGCCACAGTAAAGGGTAAAATCGTCAAAAAGCGAAAGAAAACATTGGAAGCATCGAATCCTCCTATACACGCACTTCAAAAACAGAACCCACCACCAGACCAAATCTAATTCTCTGTAAGAGACGAGTCGACGACGACGAACATGGCCACGAGCAGTACCGCTTCTGTTGATATGGAAGACATTCAGACCGTTGATCTCATGTCTGAGCTTCTTCGCCGCATGAAATGTGCCTCTAAACCTGACAAACGTCTCGTTTTCATCGGTAATTATCTTCTTTGATCTCTTTGTTACCTCTGAATTTTCACTCAATTGTCACTTCGGTTTGATCTCTGTGGAATTGTTCAGCGAAAGTTCAGATTTTTGTCTGTTTTAGTATGTGAAAATTGTGTTTTGCTGCTATCGTTAATGCTTTATCTGATGATCATAGTGAAGGGTTTAGCTCAAATTCTTGTGTAATCTAAGGAAGATGTCCCTATGGTTGAAGAAAGCGTGTGAATTTGTGTTTTTTCAATAGAAAGGAAGAATTGAGTTTTAGGTTCATGTATGATTTGGATTTGGCAGGTCCACCTGGTTCAGGCAAAGGTACACAGTCTCCAGTCATAAAGGATGAGTTTTGTTTGTGCCATTTGTCTACTGGTGACATGCTTAGAGCTGCTGTTGCTGCTAAGTCCCCTCTTGGTCTTAAGGCAAAGGAGGCAATGGATAAGGGAGAGCTTGTTTCTGATGACTTGGTTGTTGGCATCATGGATGAAGCCATGAACAGACCCAAATGTCAGAAAGGTTTCATTCTTGATGGGTTCCCGCGGACCGTTACACAGGCAGAGAAGGTTTCGGGTTCTTTGCTGTGCTCGGTTGTTTGTGTATCTGCTCTTGTAAAATGTTCTGACCTTGTTTTATAAATTATGTAGCTTGATGAGATGCTTAATAGAAGGGGAGCTCAGATAGATAAGGTGCTTAATTTTGCGATCGATGATTCGGTTCTGGAAGAAAGAATTACTGGAAGGTGGATTCACCCTTCAAGTGGAAGAAGCTATCATACTAAATTCGCACCTCCTAAAGTTCCAGGAGTCGATGATGTAAGAAAACCATCAAATTCTGATTCATCATTTGACTAGTAAATCGAGTTCTGAAACATCTCTCTTGTGATTGATCTCTGTATCAACTTCGTTGTTTGTTTAGCTGACTGGAGAGCCATTGATTCAACGTAAAGATGACAATGCGGATGTTCTTAGATCAAGGCTGGATGCATTCCACAAGCAGACGCAACCGGTACATTTCCTTAAAGTACATGAATTTGAGGACTATCAGAGATTTGAATTGCGGAATTGATTGTTGTTGTTGTTGCAGGTAATTGACTACTACGCGAAGAAGGGGAATCTGGTGAACATACCAGCAGAGAAGGCCCCGGAAGAGGTTACGAAAGTGGTGAAGAAGGTTGTGTCTACATGAAACTGAAAAACGAAATGGCATCAGTTTAAGATGTATCTTTTTTTTCTTATTTTAAAAACTCTCCTGAGTTTTTTTTGTTCCCCCCGGAATGTCGTCTTTTTTCTTGAGAGCAACATTTGCTGCAGTTTTGTGCAGTGTGTTTCACTAAGGTTTATTGTTTGCGACTGGTTATGTCAGGTGAATAAAGAGAAAAACAAAATGGTAGTAAAATGGTGGCACATTGAAAACAAAATGGTAGCTTATAAAGAATTAGTGATCATGTGTAAGAATTGGTGGAGCAGGAATCCAATGGAATTATATACAGATCACAATGAGATAAGCTATATGAAACCATAGTTAGTGAAATTCAAGTTTAAGGTTTATAGATTTATTTTGGATAACAAAAGAAAAGAGGAATAAAAATACTAGTAATTAACTAGATTTTAACCCGCGGTACACCGCGGGATAATTTAATTTTAAAGTTAGTATAAAAATATTTTGTAAATTGTATCTCGTTATAACATATTTATGTATATTATAGTTTACAATTGTTATTAAGTAAGAGTATACCACGAGTCCACGAGACAATTATTAATAAATTGAGGATTTAACCCGTATTAAAGTGGTATATAAATATTGATTCAAATTCGTCCGCCATATAAATCCTTTCCAAAATATAACTCGTTCCGTAATTTCTTAACTCGTCCCGTGATTTGTTTTTATTTTAAAATTTAATGATTATTTATTATATACAAAAGTTTACAAATCATATCATTCTCTAAGACATTTATATTTTAATAAACTGAAGATTTAATATGTATTAAAGCGGCATGTTAATGATATTTTAAAAAATTTATAAATATTTTTATTAAGTAACATTATACCACGGGACAATTTTTGGTTTTATACAATCTTTTCTAAATGAGACTGATTTAATATGTCTAATATTGGTGGTATTAAAAAAAAGGATTTAATCCGTATTGAAGCGGCGGATTAATGATATTTTAATGTTTTTATTATTATTGATTCAAAAACCCGTCACGCCAAACTCGTCCGGCCAAAAAACTCATTTATTTTATTAATGTTGATTTTATTTATGATATGATTCTGAATCATTGTCTAAATATTTTAATTGATGTAGAACGTTGAACACATATTTTCGTCAATTGGATAATATATATCCGTTTTTAAAATTTCGAATCACAGTATATGCAGAAAAAAAAAATTGATTTTTGTTTTATACTTTATGTATTATATAATGATTCAAAACAGTTAAAAACAAATCAAACAAAGGTGATAGGAGAATCATAATTCTAAATCTTAATCAAATCTTCTAAATATCTAAATTATTAAATATGAAATATCCGGTGTATGAGTTGAGTTAAATATAACCCAGAAGTATTTTTACTCACCCGTCACCAAAGTGTTGCAAAAATATTAGTATAGATATATTTTGACTAGATAACATCATTAAAATTTGAGCTTCAAATGAACTCGGATGGTAAGATAAATTTTGGAAATGTTTGCAGTATAAAATGTTGAATTATATTCTTATTATTTATTTAAATAATAGTTTTTGCCTATATTTTTTCAGTAAAATCTACAGTATATATTAAAAGAATATTTTGGGGAAAAAATCTTCAGTGTTACCATACTTAGATAACATTCCATATTAGAAAATATTCAATCTTATTCTTTAATTCTAAGATGATAAGATAAGATTTATGACAATGTTATAAAACTTAAACATGGTCAATAGTTATAACAATTTGTAAAAGTATCTTGTAATGACGAAATCAAATTCGTATACTGTGACAGCATTGTTTGTTCTCCTCTTTGTTGGTGTTCTTGAAGCCAACGAGAAGAGCCTCTTACATCAATCTGGAGATTTTCGGCAGTCCGAAAGTTTGCTTAAAAAATCGGTTGATCCAATACGCGTCACAAGATGGTTCGTTCCACCCTCAGGACCTAGTACCAAAGAATCACCGGATACAAGATGGTTCGTTCCACCTTCAGGACCTAGTACCAAAGAACCACCGGTTACAAGATGGCTCGTTCCACCCTCAGGACCTAGTACCAAAGAATCACCGGTTACAAGATGGCTCGTTCCACCCTCAGGATCTAGTACCAAAGAACCACCGGTTACAAGATGGCTTGTTCCACCCTCAGGACCTAGTACCAAAGAACCACCAATTGCAAACAAGGAAAATATGAATTTATGGTCACCATCACAACGTCTGTTTTTCGGAATGTTACCTAAGAATGTTCCAATTCCTCCTATGGAACCTAGCGGAAAAAAACCCCTTTAAATCCACCAAGAAATATGTCTTGAGTTTCTTTTTTCCGTGGAGAAAATCTAGTGAAAATGGTATTCCAACAAAAGTTTAGCTATAATAAAAATCGGAGCATTTTATTAGTGTGCTAGTGTTCAATAAAATATGCATCAACATTTCTTTTCTTTTTTTTTTAAGTATTCCTTGTAGTTTAAGAAAATACGGGTTTAATTATCTTACTTTTGATGAATTTAAGATTAAATTTGTCAAATTTCAAGAATTTGGATTCCAATGAACAATCAAATAAAATGGGCAGAAAAACCCTCACCTTTCATAAAAACATATTAAAAACCCTCAACTTTTTTTGTGGATGTTTAAACCCTCATCTTTTCATAAATAGTAAAATAAACCCTATTATTAATAAACTCAATTTAAATTCAAACAAATAATTATATTAAAACATAAATAAATATAAACAATTTGATTTAGAATTTTTCTACTAAAATTTTTGTCTACAAATTTTTTCTAAACTGAAAATTTTTAAGTCATGATGTGAAAAAGTTAATTAATGAAGTTGTATTACGAAAATTCATCAACGTGAAACCAAACAGATTTTGTTACGAATAAAATATAAATTCTTATACCAAACCGAATATGAGTTTATATAATAAAGGTTTATCGGTTCGATCATACAAATTTACTAACGTGAAACCAAATCAAATTTTATAATACTACAAAAAGTAAATGAATTTTTATTGGCCGAACTAAATAAGATTTACTAACAGTTAATATTTCTATATATATATATATATATATATATATATATCACGATATATTAAAAAATATAATATAAATTATATTTAGTTAAATATTATTTAACTATATTTTTATCTAAAATTGAAAACTCAAACAAAAAGGAAAATCAAATGTGCTATCCTATAAATTTTTGTAGTTTATATAACATAACTTCTAATGGTAACAAAAATAATTTGCCTAATCTCAACTAAATTGTGAATGAATTTTTATAGCTCAAAAACCTTAATTTTAGAAAGAAAAAATTTGCAAACTCGAATTTGAAGAAAATAATCATAAATTAAATTGTTTTTGTTTATTATTGTTTAATATAACGATTTAAAAAAATTAAGTTGAATTTATTAATATTAAGGTTTATTTTACCACTTATAAAAAGATGAGGATTTAAAAACCCACAAAAAAAAATTGATGGTTTTTTACACGTTTTTAGGAAAGGTGAAGGTTTTCCTATCCATTTTTCCAATTTAATTTATCTTAAAGAGTTGGCACTGTCATATTTATATACTTCATAGTTACGTATACACACATTCAGTCCATATTTGTCAATATATTATGCAATTTAATTTATCTTCAAGAGTTGCATTGGAACTATAAAGGGTGAATTTGCTCTATAACCATTTCTGATAAATAAATTAAGAATATAGCATATTAATTTGAAAAATTAAGTAATGACTAAACTAGAGTTATTAAGGGTACGTGGCAAATGAGAAAAATAAAGAGTTATCTTTATTTGTTTTCCTCTATATTTTTAAATATAATAATGTTTACCCTTTAATACTTTTTTGCAACATATCTTTTACAAAATAATGATTCGAAAATTCAAATCTACTTGAAACAAATATATATTTTTTTCTGCATCCAACACAACTTGAATTTCTTAAATCTTAGATTTTTTTAAAATAATGAATAGTGTTTATCTTTCTAAACATAAATGAGATAGTATAGAATCCAATGAAATAGTATAGAACGAAACATTTTTAGTAAAATGTAGGTAGTAGTGGTGGTGATAGTAATAACTTAGTGACGGTAATAACTTGGTGATGATGATGGTAACGGTATGGTGGTGATAGCATAGTTGTGGTAGCGGTGGTGATGACGGCATGGTGGTGGTGATATAGTGGTGGTGATGGTGACGTCGATGGTGGTTGGGACAACGGCGATGGTGGTGGAGGTAGTAGTAGTGGTGGTGGTGACTGTCGTTGGAACTTTTCTCGCAAAATTGAAATTCTATAAAGAAATTCAAAATTTGATTGTCCCAAAAGAAATAGTAATCAAAGCTAACTTTTTACAGTTACAAAGAAAAGGGGATATGTTAAGGGTCTGACTGGTTTAAACGCAGCGGTTGCGGTTGCGTTTGCGGAAGCGGGCGGTTGCGGTTTCAAGCGTTACCAAGCGTTTTGAACGACTGGTTTAGCGTTTGAAAATGGATGCGTTTGCGGAAGTTTTATGACTGGTAAACCAGCGGGTGCGGTAGCAGTTAAATAAAAAATGACTAAAAAAATAAAAAATATTACAAAAAAAAAGAAATAAAAACACCAATATATTATTATGATAATATTAGAAAAATTGAACATGCTTAATAATTAAAACCATAAATAAAGTACTAAATAATTATTCAAAAATAAAAAAATTTTATAATAAGATAGTACTTTATGCTGGGTCGTTAACACCAAAAATTGTATCAAGTAATGGGACAAACTGTAAATAACGTTGAATTCAATCAAAAAGCAAGTAATTTTCTATTCGAGAAAACAAATCGAAACATATATTCAATCAAAAAGAAAAGCAATATATAATGAAAGAAAAAAACATTCAAATTGATTTTCATCAGTTTGGGTGGAAGACATTGAGAAAATAAGGTTTTAGAATATTGATTAGGGTTTCTGATGAGAACGTGATACAAAGACGAAAGATATATATAAGATTAATATATTTTATAATAATTATAAGTAAACGTTTGATTTTTTTTTTTTTTTTTTTTTTTTTTTTTTTTTTTTAAATCCAACCGCTACCGCCCGCAACCGCAAACGCTTGCGGGAAGGAGCTTTTGAAATTCAGCGATTTCGAGCGGTTTGAAGCGGTACGGAGCAGTTTCTATGATTGGTACCAACCGCTAACAACCGCAACCGACCGCTAGCAACCGCTAGGAGGGTGCTAGCGGGAGAACCAATCAAGCCCTAAGTAAAAAAAAAAGGGAGAGACACAAGGGCAAAAAGGTCCAAAATATAAGAAATACACACTATCATTGGCTTTTTTTTGTTGGTTATCTACTTAATTATAAATTTTTTGTATGTTATTGGTGCAAATTTTCCAACTATAAATTGAAATATAGATTGCTAATATTATTAGATATTGTTCAATATTTAAGAATCATAAAAATTAAAGTTAAACTATAATTTTATTAATTTACAAATTTATTATTTCAAAATTATAAAAATATTTTACAAACCGTAAAGTGAATCTTCGTAAAATATAAAGTAATTAAAAGAAAAATTGTTGGTTTAATAATTATCAAACAAATTCTTCTATAAATAGGCGGTAACATTTTCTTATGTTTTACAAATTTTCCTTAAGAAATTTTGAATTAAAAATAAACTTATGACCACATTGCAATTGTTTAACCACAACCTATTTTATGCATTTATATGACATGCAATTCATAATTTCTCTGTTAGAATTTGGACCATCATAATAGTAATTACTCATTTTATTATTTTAATCAATAATTACACAAAATAAATAATTATCTCTATATTATTAAAAGAGAAGTACAAATGAAAATGGGTCGGGTTAGAATCAGAAAATTGACCCGAAATTCTGAAATCGGATCTTTGAAATTTTTTTGGAATATAAATTCGAATTAATAATGAAAAATCGAAATAAAATCAAATATTTATGGAAATCAAACAAAATCTGATTGTACTTATGGTAACTAATAATAAAAGCATATTCCAAACAATATTATACATTAATTACGTATGATAAATTTGTTCATATATTTTTGGGACTAATTCCATAACAATCAACGTTTTTGTCATTAATTTCGCTCATTTTAGCCAATTATCATTAATTGAAAGATATTTCACTTGCTTCTAAAGATTTCTAGAAAATTTATCACAAATAACCCATATGTTTTATAAATTAAATTGATATTTTTATTTTGATCGTGTAAATTAAATAGATATTTTTATTTTGGTCGTGTAAATTAAATAGATATGAAATCCATGTAACTAATTTTAATTTAATTAGATTAAATCGAAATTATGATATTTTCATACCTATAGCTTACCAAAGAAGTTTAATTTTCAATTTATAAAGATTTATTGAATATGATTTTAGAATTATTCAACAAGATGATAAGTATTTATTAAATTTTGTGAATCATGAAAAATAATAATTAATTTTTAATCATTATACTTCATCTTTCAATCTCTCATCTAACAAATAAGATACATATTCTATTATTACTATGTCCAAACTTCATTTTATTGTATGACTAAATAATATTCCCATTAGAACTATCAAAGCGAGTTGATTCGTCCCGTTAAGTCCGTTTTGCGATAGACAAAAAATATTTTGACTTGTAGTTAGTCGGTCCGCACGACCCGCGGCTAGCATATATGAACTACAAACCCGTCCCGCGAATGTATGCGGATTTGCGGGATTGTCCATGGATTTTGTTTAAATAATTTTAAAGTAACCAAAATTTAAAATACTACTAAAATAAATAAATAAATCAAAATACTATTAAAAGTTTGTTTAAATTATCACATGTTGAATAAGTTATAATTTTATCAATAAATACTAATATGCGGGCTGATCCGCCAACCCGCGGATGAAAACCGATTAAACCTATGACCCACTGCGAATTAATCCATGTGGCCCGCTTATTTGCGGGTTTAATATATTTTCCCAAATCTGCCCCATAGTGAGATGATGTGGGCTCGACCCGCGGTTTTTGACCTATTTTGACTGCTCTAATTCCCATGAATCGTCTAATTTAGAATTTTAAAACACAAAATTCTATTTTGTAAATCATAATTAATACGATGGGTATATTTATAAACAATTTTACATTTTCTCTACAATTCGTTATTATGAATATTTATAAGTATACCACACGATTCGTTCTACTAAAAACATACACAATATTAAACGCAATGTATGTAAACTAATATTCTCCCGCGGTGGACCGCGGGTCCGATCCTAGTCTTGAATGTAAAATTTAACAACGGCCGGTTATAACATTTCCATTCTGCACCATGTTCTACATTTATGGTCTATAAACTTTTATGCGGTTTTACAGTCTTGTAACTTAGTGAAATCCGGAACATTGAAAAAATAGTAGATAGTTCTAATGCATATTTTATACTAATATTATATTTTCCACCAATTATATACATGCTAAAGGTATCTTCTTCTAGAATTTATATTGAGTTGGATTATAAATACTGGCTGGGCAAAATATCCGTTAGATTCGCTTCGATCCGTTATTTGATTCGATTCGATTTGAAAAATCCGGATATCCGTAACTTTTTGAAGCAAATCAAATATTAAAAATAGATATTTGTAAAAATCGGATCAAATATCAAATACTATAATTCAAATTAACGGATATCCGATTCGCTCCGGAATACATACATATATATAGATTATTACATATATAAATTATAATTTTATTATTTTTGTAAGCATTTTATAATTTTTAATCTCTAAATTAATTATTTGAACTACTAGTTTGAACAATTAAAGGAGAAATATATATATTTTTGATAAAATATTACTATTTTTAATAAAATTTTACAATTTTTGGATTAGATTTTTTTTATTAAATTTTTTTTGTTTAATTTTAAACAAATACTTAACGGATCGAATATCCGGCAAATAGTTTGGATTTTAACGGATATTCGAACAGCCGGATATCCGGTCACTAACAAAGCAAATACGAATCGGAAAACTTAGTATTCGGAAAAAACGAATCGAATAACAAATACCATTAAAAACCCGGATATCCGTTCCGTGCACACCCCTAATAAATAGGTTATGTGGACAACTATAAACTATTGAATCGTACTGAAATAATAATGATTGAAAATTAATTAGATAAGAATATAAGATGTCTATTAAACAACACATGATTGTTTTTTTCTTATCTTCTCTTCTCAACTATTATCTACTTAATTGATATTCATAGCTGTACTTTTTTTTGTCAAACGAATACTTAGATACTAAATTTTCATGCGGTTTATTATTTTGTAATTTAGCGAAATCCGGAAATTTCGTAGTAGATATTTCTAAAGTGTGATTATATTATATTTATACTCTCCACCAATTATATGCATGCAAAAAGTATCTTCTTCTGGAAATAAATGCAACCATCCACATCCAAAGGAGATTCGTGTCACAGCCTTACTCTTCACGTGTCACAATCGTCCTCATCCTACATGCTAATAATAGAAACCAAACTTAAAAAAAAAAATCTCAAAACTTTTGAACGTACAAAACAGCAAACAAGATCACGCCATGTGTCCTCTCATCTTAAAACCAAAACCCTCGCGTTCTGTTACACGTAACTCCAAAGTCGCAGCCTTATGTGGCTACCTTTAATCGCACCGCACCTAATAGCCACTCCTCGCTCTCTCATTGGTCACCACTTCCCTCGTACTTCGAGTCTCATGTCGGATTCAAACAAAACGCCACGTCTCTAATCTTTCGTCCAATCACGTCGTTGCGCTGTTCATCGTTTGGTCTCGCACGTGGCAAAGTTTTCTCCAAACGTGTCGACGTAACAAGTTTGTTTTCTTTATATACACACCAAACACTTCTTCTCCAACAAAACAAACTTGTTTGTTAGACAAAACATGAATTTCCGGGGAGGTTGTTGTATTGCGAGGTACGGTGGTGGTGGTGGTGGTGGTGGTGGTGGAAATGATATGTCAAAGGTTGATCGGATTATGCTCCGGTACCGTCCGATTGCACCGAGACCTGATTCCGGTGGATCTTCTGCTTCACCGACGGAGAAAAATGGATCGGCGTTAACGAACGTTTCGTCGAAATCACGGAGAGGTAAGAGAAAATATTCAAAGGAGAATAACAGTAGCAGTAGCGGATCCGTTAATAGTAACGGTAACAGCAGACGACAGAGAAACGAAGAGACGAAGAACGGATCTGGTGTCGGTGGAGAGATCGTGACGTTGCCTCTTCTCCCGGAGACTCCTGAGAAGAAAGAGTCGCCGTTGAAGGCTGTGGCGGTGCCGGAGCTAGGTGCGGCGTCGTTGTGGCTTAACTCTAACAGACGTTATCAGACGGAGTTAATGACGGAAACGGTTGTGTCGTCGGTGTTGACGGTGGAGTGTGTAACGGAGAGATTGATGGAGGGAGAGTATGAGTTAGGGTGTACGGACGATGAGATTAAGATGAATTTAGAGAGAGACACGTGTCCCGGTTTTATATCGGACGGTTTAGGGAGAGTCATTTGGACGAACCGGTCGTACCGGGAATTGGTGGTTGGGAAAGATCATGAGCAGTGTGGTAAGATGAGTGTGTGGTTAGTGATGAAGGAGAGGCCTTTGGTAACGTACCGGACTTTTACGTGTAGAATGAGATTGCAGTACACGTGTCGTGATAAGGAGGTGAGTTCGATTACTTCGTTCTGTGATGTTTGGAGGATGAGTGACGGTGGCTTTGCTTGGCGGCTTGATGTTGATGCTGCTCTTTGTCTCGGACGGTGAGGTTTTGGGCCGGTGGATTAGAGATGATGTTAGATTGATGACATGATGATATTTAATAGCGACAAGCAAGTTAGAGATCTTTGGACTTACAACTTTATGAGTGTGCATACATATTTCGCAATTTTGTAGCTTTTAACATTTTGATTTTATGTTCTGTTTTAATTTGTAGTGTTTGGTGTATTACCCTTTTTCTTTTTTTGGGTTTTGTATGAAATCTTGGTTAGTCCACTTGGGTATCTTTCTTTTTTATTGTCTCGTACTTTGTGGGCTTATGGAATTAGTACTTAGGTGAGGAGTCTTATGTTTTAATCACACAATTAATGCATGTATTAAGAGTTTGGCCAACTCTTATGAAAGTGAACCTTCAAATAATTCAGGAAAACTTGTTAAATAAATTTGGTGAAGTAAAAAATTAGACTACTTATTAATTACTAATAACGGAAAGTTTCATTAGAACGTCTTGAAACTAAGTTCCAATAATATTTTTAAACTTCTGAAAGATAGTTCGTAGGATCATAAGTTGAGTGAGATTCCACACCTAGGACAATCGATATGCATCCTTTTATTCAACCTAAATGGGCTTTGGCCATTGGGCCTGTCGGTGAAACACAGTTACAAAAAGGGCCGGCTCAAATCGGAAAATCCGCCGGTAAAGAGTTCTGATAAATGGGCGGTACATCATAACTTGAAACATAAAAAAAGGCCGGGCCAAATCGATATGAATCTTACATTTGGAAAAACTTTGCATAAATCAGACTACGTTCTACGCAGAGCCGGCGCTATAATTTTTGGGCCTGTAAAAATTTTTTTTTGAAAAAAAAATAACAGACGAGATAAAAGGAAGGAAGTATGAGTCGAACCCGTGATGCTAGGATTTAAAAGGGATTAAATCTCTCAGTTATTACCACCTGAACTAATAAAGTTTTCATAATTGGGGCCGAGTTACAACTATATATTCTGAAGGCCACAAGCAGATGCTTCACATGCTTGTGGCTAGGGCCGGCTCTGGTTCTACGACTAGTTAAAACTTAGAACTGTCCTATAGACTATAGTAATTCAACTATTATTTCCATCGTTATGAGACTCTCGTAGGTACAATTCATCATGTCACACATGACCAATTGGATGACATTTTCACCAAAGCTCTTACGCAAGGAATTTGACAAATTTCTAGGCAAGTAAGTTGGGCGTTTGATATCATCTTACATATGCACATATAGTTTTTGAGGTTGAAGCCGTCGGTGATAGATACAGAAAACGATTTGTTTATTGGTTTCCAACCACATTCCTATTATGATTTTAGGAATAAGTTTATAAGGTTGAAAATATTATTACACATATGATGAATCTCTCATTTTATTTTTATCATAGTTATATATGTATAAAACCAATTGTCGCTAGGATCTAGCAGGAGGCCATAGTCTGCCTTCTCCATGAAGTGGATAACTGGGGCGTACTAGGATCTTGACCTCTTTGAACACCGATCGATCCCAAACCCTTTCTCCTGTAATTTCGTTCCCTACAAGAAAACATTAACAACTTACCTAATCAGTTTTTTCTCTCTCAGGCATGAAGTTCGAGGAGCTAAAAGAAGTTAACTGATTTTGAAAAAGCAGATCTCATCTACTTTTCTACACTATTTTAGGAAAGTTTTTTTGTGTTTCCCCTTTTCTGACCACTTTCAAGGCAAATCCCGACCTTTTTTGCCTCTGGTTTCTTCCCCGGTGTCTTGTCCTCATGTTACTAAGTCGGAGGAAACTCAGTTTGCTGCGTTCAAGAAGGTATGACTTCCGGTGTGCTTTTTCTCTGTAGTTTCACTGCTCCAAACTCGCTATCCTTATGGATAGTTGCAGTGTTGGTCTACAGTAGTTGTTACTTCACAGGTGCGGGGTCTTGGTGCCCTTGTTTACTGCCCTAGTGCAGACTTTAAGCCTGGTGTTGATGCAGTTTGAGTGGAGCTCTCTTGTTAAAGCTCTCCTCTGTTTTTACCTCAGGTTGAGGGTTTTTGTCTTCTTCATTGTCCCTACAACTTGTTCCGGCCTTCTAGCTAACCTGTGTTAGTAATAGCTCATATCTCAAGTCCTCAACATGGCGCTTCGGTTCTCAAGAGAAAAAAAAAGCAAAATGGGTGGCTCCTCCTGGTGGAAACAGAACTAAGCGACGCTCGCCTCTTCGAATCCCAGAGAGTGACAACTCGGCTCTTATTGAGGAAAGCAAGCTTACTCTCATAGGTAGAGTCACAAACGCTCAAATCCAACGTCCCAGAGCACTGGTAGAGTATATGATTCAGTACTGGAACCTAGAGAACAGAGTTACGGGCAGAGAGCTGGGTCCTGAACGCTTCTTCTTCAGGGTTGAGTTAGAAGCTGATATCCAACTGGTTCTAAAACGAGCCCCTTACCACTTCAAGAAGTGGATGTTCATCCTTCAGCATTGGAAACCGATTGTCTCAGAGTTCTTTCCTGCTTTCATTCCCTTTTGGGTAAAGATTCATGATATCCCAATGCACCACTGCACGGATCTAACTCTGAAAAAAAGTAGAAAAAGATCTAGGATCGATTATTGACAAGGACCTGTCAGAAGGAAGAATTAGAGTGAATATTAATGGTCTAGAGCCTTTGGAGATGAAGATTCCAATTCGCCTTCCTACAGGTGAAGTAACAACAATGCATCTTGAGTATGAGAAACTAGAAAAAAAACTGTTTCTTTTGCTTTTCTCTATCCCATGAAGAGAAAGCTTGTCCCCTGAAGACAAGTTCAGGAAGTAAGGAGGATAGACCCTCTGGAGTAAAATAGGATCGTGACTCCCATCTCATTGTAGAAGATAAGCGGAGGCATGAGGAAAAGAAGACTCATTTGCCGCATAGGAGAGAGGAAGCCCCTCGTGGAGTAGGTAGAGATTACAGAAGAGGGTATGGTGAAGGTGGGAGATCTGAGACACGAGAGAGTAACAACCACCTTTCTGATTACTCTAATCGTATCAGGGACTCTCATAGGTACATCAACACGAGGGAAAAGTCTAGCAAAGACAACCGCAGGTCTCCGCCTAGATCTACCAGGAGAGCTCGGTGAGGTCTGAGTCTGACTCCTGTTGGTGTCGGATCCCGCAATTCGGATCTGGCTCGGAAATGTTAGGATCTGGGAAGTAAAGTGGGCCGTAAAACTGGTCCATGCAATGAGGTGGAAAGCCCATTAGGTTTAAACCCGACTCGAATGTAACGTCGGAATCTGCGAAGTAAATCAAGTGCGGGACATACGGAAGTCGCGGATTTAAGAAGATTTGAAACAGAAATAAATAATGAGGGCGTGATTCGCGGCTAGATTGGTGATAACGGATTTCGACAATGTAATTATAAATAGGGGTTAGAAATCATTGTAAAGGGGGAGACTTTTTTGGAGCAATAAACAGAGATATATACTTTACTTCTTGGCTTTCTTTTTGACGATTAGTATTCAAATCATCTAAGCTAGACGACCCGATACATATCTCGAAATTTGTATTGCGGATTCCGGCATCCACAACTCCCACTTCCAAAGGTCTCATCAGCCCTGCAGAACTTCATTCAACGAAGGAAATCATACTTCCTCCCACAATGCAGCTTATGTGCGGAGAAGTCATTGCTTATCCTCAACTAGGGATATGGTATCAGAGCTCCGGGTTGAGGAATAAGAGACAAACAGAGGAATAAGAGACATGTTTATCTATAAGGGAAAGAGAAAGGTCAGACTACAGAGAAGAACAAGCTAAGGGAAAAGAAAAGGTTAGATCTGAGTCAAGAGAGAAGAAAGGTTCATGTTGGAGATGTGGACAAAAGGGACATGTCAAGAAAGTGTGCTTCCTAAAGAACAAGAACAAGTCAAGGGAGAAGTCAGTGGAAAGATATGAAGAATCATCAGCGCAAAATACTGTTTCTGGTGGGTTTGTGTTCAAGGTTTCAGAAGTTGGTGCTCAAGCAAGTAAAGAAAGTTCTAAAGAATGGATTTGTGACATAGGTTGTATTTCTCATATGAGCTCAAGAAAAGAATGGTTTGAAGACTTGGTAGTTTCAGAATCTGGA